GGTGTACATGCATGCACTTACAGTATCTACCAATTTAATTAATATATATATATATATATACATACCATATATGCTGCATATATATATACACGATGTGCTGTACAAAACATATAATCATGCATATTGAAATGTATATTATATATATAGTATATATTATTTCAGTTATATAATATCTATATATATCAGATTATAAATATACAACAAGCTTGTATATATATATATATATATTCTATATGTTATAGATGCATATATGTTACTTATATATACATGCATTCATGTAGATCATACAGATCGATCGATGTACTGTTTTTTATATATAATATGCTATACGCATGCACTTTGGCATACATGCATAATATATGTATATATTATATATATACATATTATATATATATAAGGTACCTATGCATGCATGTACAAGTCTTACGACAAGCATACATTAAACCATTTAAAAGTTACATCATATCGCCTGCTATTATACATAAGCCCTTTCCCTCTTGCTCCCTATATGTATATATATATAATATATATATATATATATATATACATATAATATATATATATATATATATCTATCTATCTCTTCCTCCCCTCATGCTGTACTACGTGCCATTTAATGCCTACTTTATGTCTGGATTTCTTTTGCTTTCGGAAGGAGTGGTGCATGGTCTGGTGCATTCAGAGGCTGCTGCTGGGCACTTCTTACCGGGAATGCCTGGGAAAGGTTCGGTTCCCAGCCAGGCCCTGCTACGCTCGGGAACTGCAGAATCCCTTGCCACCACCGAGAAACTGTCGCCTCCCAAGGGGCCAACTGCCCTGAAATGTGCCCGGACCTCTCCCGACAAACTGTCGCCTCCCAAGGGGCCAACTGCCGTGAAATGTGCCCGGACCTCTCCCGACAAAGCTGCTGCACCAGAAGTCGCAGTCATAGCTTCTAAACCGCCGCCACCCTCCCCAGCCCCAAGCTCGAGATCTACAGCTTCCTCCTATTCGGATGGTACCTACTGGAAGAGCCTGGCCTAGTCATTATTCTTATGGTAAGCGACTTGCCGTATCGATCATATATAGTGCCGCTGAATGCATTAGCCGAGGATGAAGCGCTACTTTACCCCTAACAAGAGGGGGGAGCTGAAGTGTTCGGAGCAAGCGATGGCCATGTTCAAGGAACCGGCTGGGCGAAGCTTGCTCTACATATATATATTATTACATGGTAGCATGTTCCTTGCATGTGTAATTTCAGAAGCTTCCAGTTCCAAGGCGAGAAACTACGTGAACTTCTCTTGAAGCACGGTGACTTCAAGACTGTGGAAGTGGAGGTAGAGAAGATCTCGACCCAGACGGCCAAGAATGGGGTCGAGGGTGGTTGGGAGAATGAGATTTCTCTGACCAAGAAAGGATGGACCGAGCCACACAACCGCACCTTTGGGAGCCCTGTCAGTGACTGTATATCTATCGTATAGACCACCCATGTGCTCTAAGGTCTATGATTGCTAACGCAAAAAGATGGGCTTTGGCACGAGGGTTGGTACGGAACAATGAAGTTCATGGCCTCGAAGAGTATAAGATCCCGACCTTCGAAGGGTTCTCGTTCACGAATGAAGCGCTGCAGCGCAACAAGATGCACGGATCCTTCGAGGTGGAGGACTCTCAGGCTTATAGGTTACATGATATGATCATGATGCATACCCCAGGCCTAAAGCCCAAAAGCTTTTGGATCTTAAAATTGCCCCACTTTATAACCCGATGGGCCTTAAGATGGCAAGGTCAAGGGCTTCTTATGTAAGTCAATAGTTCTAGAATTATAAGTGGAAGCTTGAGTTGCCATGTCGAGTTCAGATAACTCATACCAATGGTTTGCTTTTTGGGTATAGGTTTGGGGATGAAGGTTGCCGGGGCTTCAAGTTTGGGCCGACTTTAGGATTCGGGGTTTGGGGATGTGAGTCTGAAGTGTGGACATGTATTTTAAGTCGTGTGTTCAGGTGAGGTTCCAGCTTCCAGACCCTGATCCCGAAGTCCTAAACCTATATGGCTGATATGCATTGGGGGTAAGCCAACGGACCTGACTCAGTCGATCTCCATAGATATATAAATATTATTTATAAATTAATAACAGATATTTCATATTATTATATAAATATGTTATATCAGCTAGGGGTAGCATGTAGACCGGATATGGGGTTGTTTAAAATGCATTAGCTATGCCCATTTGTTATCAAAATAAACCCAAACCCTAGAACCGCCAAAAGATAATATTAAACCCTAACCCCTTAACTAGCCCTAAGCCTAAACTTCAGGAGGTCAGGCGAAAAGCCTATCAAGCAGGTTTGGTATACAGCTACAATACTAGCCGTCTTTGTCAGAGCTACAGCACTAGCTCCAACATGATTGGTCTTCGACTAAGCATGACGACTTGCTGCTGGGTGGCTGCCGCTGCTGCTGCTATTTACGTTCTACTATATGTTATGACTGCATGCTACGACGACTTCCACTGCTGCTGCTGCTGCTGCTACTACAATATACTACTACTACTACTACTACTACCACCACTACTACTACTGCTACTGCTCCTTCTACTACTACTACTACTACTACTACTACTACTACTACTACTACTACACTACTACTACCACTACAATATATGCTACTACAGCACGTGAATTCGTCTGTACCTAGCACTGCCGGTCATCATTGTCGTCAGATATCCCCAGCATCATCCTCGCGACAGTGTCGGCCAGGTCATTACTCATCATCATCCATCTTCATCATCGTCGGTCTTCGGTTTTAATCAAACTGTCACCTCATGGTCACCACCATCATATTATGTGCACTACAGCTTCCTGGCGGCTGATCCATGCAGCCCAACCCAACCAAATCTAGAGTAGTCCAGGACTAGCAGGTCGACCTGACATTCAGTACGTAGAACCAGTTGGCACGTATCACTAGTGCACATACCGAATCAAATGAGACGTTCTGCTAGAATTTTTTTAAAAGCCATAGGCCCTGAACCATAAAACACATCCAGGATGGCTCCGGCTTTCTCCTGACCGACTCGGTGACGGACAAGGATGCCTTGTCGACACCAGCATGCAAAGTTCCAGTTGTAGCACAACTTCAAGTTCTAGCTTTTTGGGATAGGATCTTAAGCGATGCATTCTAAGGAAAGGTGCAAGTGGATCCGGTGATGTGAACTTCGCTCGGGTGGCTTCCACGAGTATTGCTCAGGGTGCCAAAGAAAAATGCCTTCCAGTTCTTCAGGCAAACCAGGATGTCTTTAGCAGCTCGTCCCATTAGATCCTAAACGAAACAGTTGCCATATTACATGCACTCTCATCTAAGGTGTGCTGGCTGTCTACATCGACATGTGCGGAAAGAAGGTGGACCGAGCCACCGAGCTGCAGGTGCCTTATAACTACTGTGGGTCAGTCGAACGAACCTGTCTTGGGATGGTTCTGGGCAGGACAAGCTGATGGCTTCTGCGCAAAAGCGTGGTGTAGAGCATCTTTGTTGCATCATATACATGCATATCATGCAGTAATTTTAACATTGCATGTTCAACCCCTGAAAACCCGACTCTAGCAACTCAGGCTGGCTTCAGATATGAAGCCGAAGATTGTCGAGCTGGAGACGCACTACAAGGAACTCCTGCGGATTCAGACGGATGCTGTCCTTGATGCCGGGACACCACCTTCTAGGACACTGCTACGCATGATATGCTCCAGCTAGGGTAGCTATGGTACTAATTGCATGGTCCCGGAGCCCACCCACTACACACTGCAAGGAAAACGAAGGAGGATGTTTTGAAGTGCTACGCATCCTGCACACGCCTGGACTTGGCTCTCAATGCCCTGATGATTCGGGGAAGGATACCCTTGCAATTTCGTGGTTATAGCTATATATATAGTTGATTCTTGGCATGATGACTACTAGCTATACTACATGTCAGGACGATCAAGGTACCCGGCAAGAAGTCGAACGCCACATCGTCGCCCAAGAATAGCAAACCCAAAAAGGGTCAAGGCAAGCCGGGGAAGAGACCGCAAAGCGGCGCTTCCACAGCAGCCGCCTCAAAGAGGAGGAGGAACTCGTGAGTTCTTTTCGGTTTCGGCCGGGCTACCTGTGGTGAATGCCTTACAGGATGATGATATTGTCCTATGCTGGCCCAACTAGCTGTCCGGGGATTCCAGAATCAATATAGTGCTTTGTCAATCCTTGTGCTCTGCCACAGGTGCCACTAAAAGTGCTAGCTGCTAGACTGCAAGATCTAGTCTTCACATGTGAACAACGTGTGCTCAAATTCGAGCTGAGTGGGACCTGCAATGGGGAACTTAGGAGCAAAATGTCCACTGTACATGATTCGGGATTGCTTCACTTGCATGTGCAGCTTTCACACTCCACAGATCGAAGTTTGCAGTGACGATACATGTTGCCAGGTATCCGTCCTGGGCAACACAACGACATCCTTCCTCGTTTGGCTACCGGTAGCTTGGTCCCATTATATGTTAAATCCCATTTAGAATAATCAAAAAACTACGATCCCTTTAGTTGTACGCATGCATTCTCGCGATCTGGTCGAATGCCCGGCAGCCAATACATCGTACCTTAAGCCCCTTCCCTGCAATCGTGTCTAAAGGATCGATGTATATCCCTCAAATTTATAGTACACCCCAGACTTTGAGCCCATACACTACACCATTTCCAAGACCCATTAATGACCCGCTTGGAATGAGGTGAGCGCTCTCGTCGGCAGCAAGAAGATCATGACCTCGATGCAGAAGCTGCTGGGGAGATTCTTTCGAAATACTTCAATGGAGTGCCCCTGCTAGATTATTCAAGTGGGTCCCCTGTGGTCACTCGGGATTATCTAAGGCAGAGTCCGCGAAAGGAGCAGCACAGATGGCTACGCTGGTGTGCAAGATTGGGGACGGCTCACGCTGCTTGAGCTGCACAGATCCTAAACATGTTTCTGGGATTTGCAGCCCTCTGATTTGTAATCCCCCCAGGAGAATTGGACCTACTCTACAAGTTGTCAGCTGCTGGTCGGAGCAATTCGAATGTGTGTCGTAACCTCCACCGGCTGATTCATCGAGAGGGCCTCTCGGTGCCTGTTCAAATAGACTTTGTGGACACGGTTGTGAGGAAGCGAAGGCCACTCGTGAAAAAGGTGGCTGTGTGCTATCCAGTGATCTACCCCAGCTCATGGATGAAGTTCCTACTGCAGAATCACAGCCACCTCATCCTAGGCGGAGTGGAACTTGAGAAACTGCAGGAATGGCAAGCAATGCTGTCTGAGTTTTGGACATTGTACAAGCATTGTGATCATGATGGCGCGGGTGTGATGAGTGGGCCCGATGCACCCCCAGCCCACTGCACAGTACCTCTATATATACATGGCGACGAAGGACGTGGCAAGTACAAGCTACCAATTATGGTGGAAGCCATCCAACCCTGCATATCGTTCCGGGGAACTTCTTGCAAAAACTCCAGTGGGTTTTTCGATTCTGCACCATAGTACATATAGTCTTTTATATATGTATATTGAAAATCGTACATTTGTGCATGTTCTTGGCCTTTAACTGATCGACCTAAGAAACACGTACTGCACACGATTCCTGTACACTGTCGTTCCAGCTGAACTTTACTGGTTTGATGCTACGCTGACGAAGCTGAATGAAGCGTTCGCTGAAGACCTATGCCGTCTGTACGCAGAAGGGATTCAGGCTGCTAGGTTATAAGCTAGCATGCATTTTCGAATACATTCCGGTTGTAGGTTAGCTATTAAGGGCTTGCAGCAATTAAATTTGTCATCCTAGGTGGAGACATCTACGGGACCTATCAGGATCCACTTTGCCGTCGTGGGCGTCAAAGGAGACTGGGTCTTCTTGAGGAAGGTGGGATTAACCAGTGCATCAGTGAATGCATGCAGTGCTAAACCCTAAACCCTAAACCCATGTACTTTACAGTAGAATATGATTGCAAGGCAATGGCCTTGACAACCGGCTGGCAATGCCTTCGCAAATGCCATTTGTGCTGCAGTACTGTTTCTTGACCTGATACAAGCCATCGTCCTTAAATTTATCATGCTGGAGCCTTCTACAACCTTAAGTGCTATCCTAGGAATGGTACAACATGTCCTCCGATGCCCCGTGGCGTAGTGGTGGTGAGGGCCCGACACCATTCAAGCGGAGCGGATCGCCATTCTTCAGAGTTCCTGGGCTCAACCATCCGCAGGCTGCTTTGGTCGATCCAGCACATACATGGCACATGGGGTCGACTCGACAGCATCTAGCACAATATGGTTTATTCGGTACGTGTTCTTTGGGGTCATGGGGGTTGGCTACATAGCAATTAGAAGCCATCCTCTATGGTTACAACCTACTGTTGGGGTTTAGGCCTAGCTAGGCTGTGAAGCCCGTGACCCATGGAGGTATAGAGTACCCTGAGTTTATATGCAGCTTATTATATGCAGCTGATTCAGGATCGGAAAGGACTTCGTTTCGTCGGGTGTGGTGTTGATATGTCGGCTGGGCTTGCTACCTGGACGAGGCCTGAACGCCCGCCTTTACAAGGCCTACTGTGACTTCATCAGTTGGTGCAGCGACAAGAAGAAATCCACTAACATCAGGGGATTCTCCCAGAGTGGGTTCAAGATGGGACAGATCCTATGATATTATATGTTAATAATTAAAAGTGCTAGCCTATTAGTTCATGTGATTTGTTGTGTGTACAGTATATCGTAGCTGATAAGGAAGGCCGACTTTCCAAATGCAACCGGCGGAAGGGGAGCTGACACAGCTTTGATGACGTCTTGGCTAGAGGACTTTGTGTCACGGCTAGAGCCTATATGTGGAAAGTAATTTTCATATCGTTTGCATAAGCCACACACCACTAGGCCATCATGACAATAGTATATGTAGTAGTCTGCCATGGAGACTTGCAAGTGCTACGAACCTTTGTAGCTAAGGATTGCTCTGCAGAGCTTTTTCAGATGCTGAAGTATACAGTGGCCTGTGCCAACCGGTATTTTCGCACACTACATGGCGAAGGCCTGTGGCTAGAGGCTCCTGTTAACCTTCTGGTTGCAAAAGCAGGAGACGAGATGTGCGCTTCCCGGCATTTATAAATAACGGTGGCAACAACCCAGCCCAAGAGCCACGATCCCTAGCTGATCTCAGGCTGGATACGCGAAGCTGGCCCGCCGGTGCCATGAGACCACGACCTGGAAGCTGTTCAGCATGAAACCCAAGCTGCACATGCAGTCACACTTCATGCGACCTATCGGCAATTTTGATGCATGTGCATATTAATGAAGTCCTTCGATTATAATTCTTCGACATCCGCTAGTAACCCAGGGCTAAGCTTCGTGTACTTGGACTGCGTGGTCACAAAGCCATGAATCCTATGAGCCTCTGAGCCGCACTGTGTGTGCAGACTCGCAATTGCAATACTATAGATAAAATCGAGTTCTGTGCGTGATCTTCAGCTAAGACCAAGCCTGCTGGAGCGACGAAGACTTTATTGGAAAGGCAGCAAGGACAGCAAGGCGAAGCGGTACACACGCACTCAGTTGCGCCTACCGATGCATGCAGAAGATGCTAGGTGCGTACAAAGAGCAGCTTCACAAGCAGGCTTTGACCAGAGTGCGGGCTTGAAAAATCTGGGAGCCTGGCAGATCTGTGAAGATCTTGATGTCATAGTGCATCATGAGCATCAGCATCTTTGAGCGTTTGTGCGTTTTTGGTGGTAAACGGGCGTTTCTCTGCAATTCGAACGATTCTCTCCCGAAACGAGCGAAAGTACATTAATGCAAAAATAATCGCTCAAACGAGCGCAAAACCTCTACGAGCAAGAATTAATGCTACAAAGGGTTCTCCAGGTATAAGAACCCCCAAAATCCTATCCCGATTACTAAGGCCCCTACAGTACGAAAACACGGACGCCTGATTTTGTTGTCTTGATTGGAACCTGGGAGCCTTGCATTAGGCCGGTAGCATCACGGCTTTGAGTGAGTTGCGTGGTCTTCTGTTTGGGGCGCTGTTCGGCTTGTTTCCCTAAACCTTAAACTCCACTTTTCGAACTCTCACAAGACGGAAACAGGGTCATTCAACAAAAAATCCCAAAACCGTCGAGCAGTAAGCCGGCATGGACTTCCGTCTCGCAGAGCCGTCCGTCTGACTCACCTAAAGCCTAAACCCTCAACCCGAGACTTGCACATTCTGCATCCCCTTCAAGACAGGTATCCATCGAAGTAATGTAGCGGCCGAAATAGTTACCAATACTATTCTGGGGTTCCTTATTATAAATATGGTATAATGGGACCCAAAACCCCATTCTAATTATTAAGGCCCCTACATTAAGAGTCTTCAAGGCCGTCAGATTACTGCTGCATGATTGCTTTCCACTGCTCAAACGACGCCATATGTGCGATTAGCAGGACAACGACTCCTATTTAAACCCCTAAAGCAGCAGACGTGGACCCCTTCCAACACTCTAATTATAGAACTGCAATGAACCATAAAACTCCTATAAACCCCTAACCCCCCAGGTACCTACTATATAGGGCCCTAGGGGCTCTAGTACCCTATATAGTCGGTACCTGGGGGGGTTCGGGAACACTTAAAAGTGCAAAGCAAAAGGCCTACCATGACCTGTGAAAAGCCATGAAGAGCAAGGAGACGAGCCCCGATGCCGCAAAGCGTTATGCTCTTCAAGGCCAGTCGTAGAGGGTTTGGGGTTTAGGGTTTAGGGTTTTGGGTTTAGGGATATTTCTTGAAAGGGGGTTCAGGGTTTAGGGTTTATATGCTTATTGAGGGTGTAGGGTACCAACAGGGGCATCGCAAGGCGTTGCTCTAAGGGCTACTAAAACGGATGTAAGGGATGCTTGTTGAAATTGAGGGATCATTTTGGGATCCTTCTTGGGTGTAGCCACAGGGGGAATTGTGTTCGAACTCGTTTGCAGAGTTCGTTGCGCACGGGGTGCTTTGCGATTTTACAGGTTTTGGTGTCCAAGCCTAAAAACCCTAAACCCTAAAAACCATAAAAACCCTAAACCCTAAACCCTAAAGACCCTAAAACCCTAAAAACCCTAAAGCCTAAAGCCTAAACCCTAAACCCTAAACCCTAAACACTTGAGCAGAGGACATGAGGTTCGGTAGGGCTATCGGTACCCAACTTGGGGTTGTAGGTATACACCCTAAACCCTAAACCCAAAACTCTTATCCATAAACCCCTAATAGGTATGTCCACAGTGACCTCACGCAGAACTCTGCTTTCTAAGTCCCCCCATCCTGTAAGGAACCTCCTCATATCTGAAGACAACTCGCTGCCCATCGCCGCCAGGCCAACAAACGGAGAGGCCAAGGGGGAGGGGGGTGTCCAATTGGAATAGGGTTTAGGTGGTTCGGTTTCTTTGGCTTGGCGTTCCACGCAGTGGAAGGAGTAGAATTAGAAGACGGGTGCGTTGCAGACTGCACTATGCAGAGCTTCCATGCCGGAATCCCGCCGCACATATCGCGTCACCTTTTGAGCAGCGCAATGCTGCTGGGGTTTGTGGGAATTTGTCAAAGGCACTATAGATCCTTGTGGATGCTGAGAGGCTCAGTTACAGAATCAGGCAACTTTGTTCAGGGCTTCGAGGCCTTCCAACACCTTTAGGATATCCTCGAGTCTAAACTCGAAACCGGAAAAGAAATCAAAGCTCAGAGGGTCCTACACTCCAAAGCTCAAATACCCACAGGCAGTCTGTCGGCAGTTACACTTCGGGCACACCTCAAGCCTAAACGCTAAAAGTCGCAACTTTATTTGAGGGTGCCTCTCCTGTGCTGATCTTGAGAACCGACGGATCAAGGTTTCCAGCAGCAGGTCCGTGGGGTTTAGGATTTAGGGCGTATAAACCCTAAACCCTAAACCCTGAACCCAAACCCTATAGGTCTAGCATTTAGGTTCCGGGAGTTGTTTTGGATTGTTGGTCACATGAATCTGTTGTGGAACGCTACACGAGATTGTGTGATTGTCATCTGCAGTTTGCTGAAGCGGAACATTAGGATTCGGAAAGCTTCAGAGACAGACAGCCCACAAGGCTAGTAGCAGAATCAGAGAAATCCAACCCGAAATCGTCAGAACAAATCCAGCCCCGAAGGTGCCATGACACGAGCTTATGCGAACGCCCTAAACCCTGAACCCTGAACCATATAAGCCCTATATAATTCCAAAACCGTTAACGCAGGTTCAGCGCCTCTCAGGACCACAGGGAAGACTGGGGGGGAACTGCGATCTAGGGCTGGTGTGGGGGCAGGGGGCACTCTTAGCCGACTTTTCAGCACATTGGGAACAGATTGAGAAGGGAGTTTGTGGAAGCCTTGTTATGCCGACCCTAAACAGGATGATCTCCCAATTCTGAAGCTGTTATGTTGCCCAAGGCTTTGTCACAATGCTTTTGGGGCCACATGCAGTGACGCAGTGTCTACAACTGCAAGCGACCTCACTTAAACGCCTAAGCCCTCAACCCCGAAACCCTAAACTCAACTCTATGCAGCTGGTGGTGGGTTGCTTGCGGATAAGGCCGCCGACCTCAACCCTTGGCCCCACCCCAAAACTTAAGCCCCCAAATCCTAAACCCTAAACCCTAATCCTATAAAACCCCCAATCCTGGACCCTGACATGGAGGTCAAGATATCAATACCCTAAAGGGCCCATGTACCCAAATAGTATATACTTTGGCCCCAAAGTACCTATATAGGGACTACTTTAAGGCCAAAGTATATACTATTTGGGATCTATTTGGGCACATGAACCTTTAGGGATCGTCTTCCCGCTTTTGAAAATGCCTCCCTGTATTTGTTGAAGTCTCTTCGCATTGTTGCGGCCCCTAAAAAGTTCACTAAACTTTAAAGGCTTCTGAGCTCAGAGCATTGAGTTCCTCCATCGGGGTTTTTTGTGATTAGAGTAGTTGTCGTTGTTTTTTTTTGTCGGCGGGAGGTACAATTTCAGCATAGGTAGGATATAGTATCATCAGAAGCTGTAAGGTATATAGTGTTTCGAAACTTCGAATAGTCATGCCTAAACCCTAAACCCTACACCTTATCTATATTGATATACAGACCTTCATGGCAACCTCAAAGGCCCCACGTGAACATAAGGATGTCCCAAATCAGGGTTTCTGCAATCCACATTGTCGGGATTAGGGTCGTTTTATAACCCTAAACCCTAGACCCTAAACCCTAAACCCTGGACCTTAAACCAAAAACCTCAAAGCCAAACGACGCAGGATCTTTCTGTTGATGCGTTTTTTTCTTAGACGTCGACCCCTGAGTGTCTGTATCTTTGTAGCAGGACCCGTCCAGCAC